GTTTTCTTATGAATTGCTAGATGTATAAGTACATTCATTAGGTAAGAATTCCAATGACAATATAATTGTAGAAATTGTGTAACACTGAAGATTTTTTTCTTACTTAACAGAACATGCTTAAACATTATTGATTTTATAGACTGCCTAGACAAAAAAAAATAAATAAGATTAAATTGAAATTTATGAGAGACAGGAAGATATAATGGATAGGGTATGGACCTTATAATCAGTCATTTCTGTTTTCAACTCTCAGTTCCATGTCTTTTGAGTTTTGTAACTTTGCCTTTGGTCAGCTTTCCTGAGGATCTGAGAAGGAGGTTCTTATGCAGAACGTTGTTGACATGAGTGCATAGAATCCGTATCACTATAGTTGTTCCAAACAGAGAGAAAGGGCCCTCTTTGATGGAAGGAGGAATTTTCCAGAGTAGTCAGAGGTGAACCATTTGTAGCCAACACTTGAGACAGCTTGTGGAATAAGTCAGTGCCATCTCAGAAGGGGAATCTGGATGATGTCCTATAGTAGTTATTCTGTCCATTATGACACTTGGCTCTTTTAGCTTCATATGATAATTTTAATCTATCTGGACATAACTCCTTAAAGAGTCTTGTCAAAATCACAAAGAGGAAGATCATCAGAACCCTCTCATGCAGTAGAGTGGTGTGATTATATGATTAAACCAATGAAGCCACCTATATTTAAATAAGGCAGTATAATGATTTGATACAGAATTAAGTATTGCCTCATCAGGGCAGCTAGTATCAATGTCACAACTTATTCCTTTTTTTTTTTTCTCTTTTATCTTCTAGACTACTCTTTTTAAAATCCACTCATCCTAGGTCAGAACCTCTATTGATATATGTGGCTTACAGTAAGAGGTGGCAGAGGAGTCTGAAACCCTCCTCATCAATTCCTTCTTAGGGCCTGGCTACTGAACCGGCTCATCCATTTACTATTAAAAAAAAAAAAAAAAGACAATAAAATACTACTTGGTGAACTACTTGGATACCAGGAATTCTTCACTTCCCTAAGTGTAACAGCCCTGCCCCTTAATGATCAATTTACTTTTGCTAGTATGCCAAACTTCTGGAACAAATGTTTGAAATAATTGGGTCTTAACGTTTCATGCATACTCTATGTATCCCCTCATGGAAGAATTCTCCCTTTGAAAATCAGAATCTCTAGATCCAGGAGGGAAGAGGACACACAAATCCCCCAATTTGGTCACTAGGAATGACACTAATTTTAAACACTCCTATTTTCTTTGCTTGATTCCCATGCCTATATATTCCGTTGTGATGAATTATACAAAAGAATGGTCAAAGATTGGGAGTGTTTGCCACATCCTTTAGCTAGCACCCTAACATGGTAGTTTATCATCTAGCATGCAACAAACAAGTGGGTGCTTTAGCTGCAACAGCCACGCAGCTTTTCCATCGGTCTTGAGGTCAACAACTCTGGGTCGTGCATAATGTATAAGATTAAGTGGTTCTTGTTATTATGTATATTATGTATCCACTGTTGAAATCTAGCATATTTTCTTTGGCCTGAGTTGATATCATGTAGCATCATATACTGATGTATAAAGCATTCTATAAGTCTGTACGTCCTCCAATCATGGTGTAGAACAAGAGCTTGTAGACAAGTTAGCAAACCCTTATGTGGAGTTTGTTTCACTTCTAATCAAATTGAATCATTGCTCTTTCCAAGGAGGAAAGGGACCAATGTCACAGTCAGCTTTTCCATCAAGTGCCTGGTTTGTCTCCCTAAGGGACTGCACTGAAATTGAGGTTCTTGTTGCTATCAGTTTGGATAGCTCATTAACCTTCCTATGTGTGGGAAGACAGAAATAGACATGCATTTTTATGTAACTGTGTGGCCTACATGTAACAGATGGGTTCTACTGGAAGAACAAATGGCAGGTTATTCTAAGGCTGAAAAAAAAAATACAGTGGGAGAATAGAACTTCTTGGGCAGGGTAATAAAAATATTATGAAGCTGAAAGAGAACCAAAAACACACCCTGGAAGTACTCACACTGCATAAGATGGTAAGCCAGTGGCTAGAATGTAGTCTACTAAAAACTCTATGTTTTTATTCTTATCTTTTTTATTTGCTCTTATTTTCTGATTTCTTTTAAATCTTAACCTCTTTTTGATCAACACGAGCCAAACTACCAACTTAAAAGAACAAAACTCAACTTGGGAAAATAAATTACTATAATGAGCCTCATTTTCCTCATTTATAAAATTAAGTAAAAAAACCTATCATGTAGTTTTATGGGATTTAAACTTTTTTTTAAAGATTTATTTATTTATTCATACAGAACTGGGGTACAGGCCAGAGTTGCAGGGGCAGTGAGAGGACTCACCAGAGACAGAGTGGGGGGCAGAGCAGGCAGATCAACGAAGTACACTGCTGAGGGGAGCAGCGGGCGGGTCAGGAGAGGTCTGCCACACCATGTGGTCACCTCC